AGCCAGACATCCAGATGCAGGAGGCCTCCAAGACAACTTTGGACACCGGGGAGGGAACATCAGGTGAATGTTGTGAGGGTCCAACACACACAGGGCAGGGGAGGTGGGAGCAAAGTGGATGGGACAGTACTGTGACGTGTCATGCTGATCATAACCCGGGGGGCCCCACACATGGCCAACCGTAGGGAGGGCCATCCTATCCCCGTACCCGAATGGGTGTGAGGTACCACCTGCTCCTGCAGACAGTGTTGCCAGGTACCTGAAGGCGGGGGGCACACATATGGCCGACCTCAGGGAGGGCTGTCCTACCCCTGCACCAGCATGGCTGCGAGGCACTACCTGCTTCTGCAGGCAGTGATGCCAGGTGCAGGCATGGGTTGGGGATGCTGGGATTGGCACACAGATTTAGGCTTCTCAGCAACCTGCGGGAACCCCAACTGTGGCCTGACACTTGTCTGTGCTGCTTGGCCATCAGGTGTGTGTGTGTGGGGGGGTGGGGGGTGGCAGGATGGTGGCCTGCACACCTTCTGGGCTCCAGGGAGGCCGTGGCTGCTGCCCAGGCCACACCACATCTTGCTGAGACCACATGAGCATCCCCTGACCCTAGGACAGGCATTGACTGCTGAGAAGGAGGGCACGCCCTCTCAGGGAAAGTGTGAGCATGCATGACTGACAACTTTTCCCTCTTGTCCTCCACAGCCAGACCAGCTGTCCAGGAGGGGAGCGCCACACCTGTCCCACCACCCAGATGGCTGCAGGGAACCCATTGGCACTGGCGCACATACCTGGGCCTGACGCGCCAGCACATCTCGGTCCTGCAAGGGATGCAGGAGACATTTATGCAGAGGATGCAGGGAGAGGCACAGTGGTGCAGTCGCTTGCTGGATGAGTTCGTCCAGCAGCGTAGTGCAATTTGCACTGCTATCCAGAAGGTGATGCCCTTCCCAGGTCCTGTCCCTGTTCCTGCCCCTCATGCTCAGCCCCCACTCACCCTCTGCTCCCCTCACCCCCCTGCCATCCAAGACCCAGGTGCAGCCCCACCTCCTGGCCAGCCCCCTAATGTCCCAGTCCACATGCATGGCTGTCTCCGAGCAGGCCCCCTACCTGAGGTGGCAGGAGCTCTATATCGAGGCGGCACCCTCAGCCCTGAGCCTCCCTCCCCCTTTCCAGGTTTACATCCCCCTTTCCACCAGTGAGAGTCAGTAAGGGAAGCACTTTAATTTAACAAACAGCTTATTTTTCTTTACAAAAGTGTTATACTGGTTTTGTTACATACAACAGTGCAATAAACTGTAAGCATTTTGTAAACCACACCTGTCTCTCTTCTCTGTGTATGTGTACAAAGTGGGGCAGGGATGGATTTGAGGGGGGAAGGCACTGGGGCCATGGAGCAAACCCACATTTGGAAGGCCCTGGAGAAAGTCATCGGGCTGCTTGGGAGAATCTCTCCCTCAGGGCCTCCTGAATTTGCAATTCCTACTGGTGGGCTTGGCGGATGGCAGCTGTCTGGGGCTGCTCAAACTGCCTCCCCTCCACATCAGCCTGTGTCCCCCACCCTGGGAGGAAGGCCTCCCCTTTCCTCTCCACCAGGTTGTGCAGCGCACAACAGGCAGCAACCACCTCAGGGACATTGCGTTCCCCCATGTCCAGGCGAGTGATCAGGCATCTAAACCTGCCCTTCAGATGCCCGAAGGCGCACTCCACCTGGAAGCAAGCCCGATTCAGGTGGAAGTTAAACAGTTCCCTGCTTGCATCCAGGTGTCCAGTGAACGGCTTCATGAGCCAGGGCATAAAGGGGTAGGCCACGATGCACGTAGGCATCTTCACATCCCCGACTGCAAAGTTGCGCTCTGGAAAGAATGTCTCAGCCTGCAGCCTGTGGTACAGGTACGAGTTCTGGAAGATCCAGGCATCGTGTGCCCGGCCCAACCACTTAACACAAATGTCTGTGAATTGTCCCCGGTGGTCAATCAGGGCCTGCAGCACCATAGAAAAGTAGCCCTTTCTGTCAATATACTGGGCTGTTCGATGGGATGAGTCCCATCAAGTGCTCCACCTCAGTTTGGAAATCCTAGCCCCGCAAATCTGGCAACGATGGTATCCAGGTCTCTGAGGTGGACAGTCCTGTGAAGCAGCTCTGAATTGACGGCCGTCACCACCTGCAGAAAGGGACAAATGGAAACACACAGAACAGGACATTAGAGGATTTGCCTGAGGGGCTCCCTCACCTCTCCCCTCCTAGACCCCAAGAGCCCACCCTCAGGCTACCCTCCCGCCCGCACCACAGCAGGTTGAGGCTTGGGGGGCTTCTACCACTCCCACCCCATCCCCCATTCCCTCTTCCCTGTCCTGACTGTCCCCCTTATCTGTCCCCCCCCCAAGGACTGCCCCCAGAGAATGACTTACCTCCATCAAGACAGCCCCAACAGTAGATCTCCCCACACCAAACTGGTGTCCCACCGAGCGGTAACTGTCGGGGTGGCCGGTTTCCACAGGGCAATAGTGACCCTCTTCTCCAGGGGGATGGTGGGCCGCAAGTGGGTTTCCTGGCATTGTAGGGCAGGGGCGAGCCAGGCACACAGCTCCTGGGATGTAGACTTCCGCATACAGAAGTTTTGGAGCTAAGCCTCGTCGTCCCACTGTTCCATAACAAGATGGTCCCACCAGTCTGAACTGGTGTTCAGCCTCCAAACTCACCTCTCCAGGAGTAAGTTAGGTGGCAAGGGCAGTGGGGCTGCAGCCCAAGTGAGGGGCTCAAAGCTGGGTTCTGAATCTAGATCTACCCTGAACATCATGAAGGTCTCATGGAGATGCAGCAGAACTTGACGCACTACAGAGTGGGGCCATTGCCTGCCCAGGGGCAGCTCCTGCTCCATGGCAAAAAAACAATTCAAAGCACAAAAACCAACCAGGAAAAAAAATGCTGTTGTGTCCCAGAAAACAGGGCACTCAAAGCAAGCACTGCAGAAGCTTTGCTGTCCTCCTTCTAGGAGGTAGGCAAGCCAGCTGCAGGAGCAGAGGAACAGCTGTTCAGGGGGGGGGTCCCTTTAAACATGAGTATCATACAAAGAGCATGCTGCAGGACCCGGAAGTAAATGCTGCCCCCATGCCCTGGCAGAAGTGCTTCCAGGTGCCCTTTTTTCAACAGAGCATCCAGGCAGTCTGGACGCTCTTTTTCGAAAAAGCAGATCACTTTTACGAGCTGCTTAGTGCAATCTAGATGCTGTTTTTCGAAAGAGGCTTTTTTGAAAAGTATCTTTCGAAAAAGCCTCTGTCGAAAATGGCATGTAGTCTAGCTGCACCCTATAGCTATGTCTACACTGGTGTGATATTGCGCCAGAGAAATGCAAATGAGTCTAAGTGTGGAATATTGCTGAGTCTCATTTGCATACCTAATGAGCCGCCATTTTTGCGGAAGAGGCTCTTGCGCTAGACGGAGCTGTCTACACTGCCCCTTCTTGCGCAAGAGGGTTTTTCTTGCACAAGAAGGGGCAGTGTAGACAGCTCCTTCTAGCGCAAGAGCCTGTTCCGCAAAAATGGCGGCTCATTAGGTATGCAAATGAGGCTCAACAATATTCCACGTTTAGCCTCATTTGCATAGAACAACAACCTGCCAGTGTAGACATAGCCTGAGTGTCTGAAGTTGGGATTATTTTTTCCAATGCCCAGTCATCCAATTTTGTGGAATTCCCGTTACTATCTGCAGTCAGCTTTGGGCATAACTATCTTGAATTTTATATCATCTGCAAATTTTGCCACTTCAGTATTTGCTCCCTTTTCCAGATCGGGGGTGACTGCTGAGGAGGACCATGGAGGGGCACCCGCCCATGACTGCTCCCTGTACCACCTCTAGCCCAAGCAAGGGCCAGGACAACTCCCCCTCTACCTCAGGACTTGCTCCTGCCCCTCCCAGCTCCTGCTCTACCCCACCTCTTTCCCCAAGCTGCTTTTCCCAAGTGACATGGCCTGGGAGACTAGAAGGGCAGTGGGAGGGGAGAAGACTGACCTGGTCCCCACCCGTTTCACTCCCCCATTTCCTGGCTGTGTTGCTCACTTCCTGCCGGTGAGTTCAGGGGACGGTTCTTTCTCCTCCCCTGAACAACATGGCTGGGAGCTAGGAGAGTGGAGCAGGCTAGGGCCATGTCACTCTGCTTCCCCATCAATGCTGGTGAGTGGAGGGATGGGGGCGTAACCCCTGCTGTTTAAGTGTCAATCCTATCAGCCCCCCCCCCACACACACACACTAGTCCCCTGGGTTGCATAGAGGCTCTGATTTAAGAGGAGAGGGTGAGGGATTTGGGCGTATTTAGTCTGCAGAAGAGAAGAGTAAAGGGGGATTTGATAGCAGCCTTCAACTGCTATCCAGCTGAAGGGAAATTCCAAAGAGGATGGAGCGAGGCTATTCGCAGTGGTGGCAGATAATAGAACAAGAAGCAATGGTCTCAAGGTGCAGTGTGGGAGTCTATGTTCTATATTAAAAAAAAAATTCTTCACTAAGACGATGGTGGAGCATTGGAATGAGTTCCCTAGGGTTGTGGTAGAATCTCTATGTAACCCTTCTGCCAGGTAAGCCTAGCAGGAACCAGGGCCGGGTTCAATATCTTGGGGTCCATCTCACACAGAACCGGCTCAAGCCCCCACCCAGTAACCTGGGAAATTCACACACCCCTGGGTGCCTCTGAGAGGCAATGCTCCCCCACTCACAAGCACAGAGTCTGAGGAAACATTTAACGAAACAGAGCGAGAAGTGATACGGCATTAACTTGGGAAAAACCACAAACCGAGTTCATAACCCAAACATGAGCTAAGTCCCCACCCCCAGCCAAGAATCACCCGAAGTCCCAAAGTCCGACACCCCAAAAGTCTTTGTCCCTGGTCAGTGCCAGCCAGAGTCCAAAAGTTCACCCGCAGGGTTTCACCTCCCGACCCGGTAGAAATGGGGGTGGAGGGATATCTTGTTAGGATTCTGCTGCAGTCTTTAACACGAGTCACTCTGCCACGCTCCACCAGCTGTCTCATTCCACTCCACCAGATGCTCCGCTGGTCGCCTGCCGCCGCTCCTACCAGCCGCACCGCACCGCTGGTCACCTGCCGCTGCTCCTCGCCTGCTGCTGCTCCTACCAGCCGTGCCACGCCGCTGGTCACTGCTCCTCACCTGCCGCCGCTCTGCACCATGCTGCTGGTCACTGCTCCTCACCTGCTGCCGCTCTGCGCCTGCTGCCGCTCTATGCCATGCCACTGGTCACCACTCCTCACCTGCCGCTGCTCCGGAAGGGGGAAGGCTCGTTCCTTGGAGACTTCTTACAATGATTGTGGTGTCTCTCCTGCAAGCACTGGTGGCATGTTTTACAGTTCCCACATTTAGGGGTAGCATGATTTGTGACCCCCCACAACAGCCCCAAATTATTTACAATACACCACATTCCATTCCAACACTTATTCTCCATCAGCTCTGGCTGAATTGGATTTACATAGCCATACCTCATATTCCCTCCCCATCCTGGCATGAGCTGTATTTACATATCAGCAGTTAACAGTTAATTATCTTGCACAGCTAAACAATTGGGCTATGTCTACACTGGCATGATTTTGTGCAAGAACTCTTTTGTGGAAGAGTTCTTGTGCAAAAACTCTTCCAGAAGAGAGCATCTACACTGGCATGTGCCTTTGCGCAAGAGATATGCTTTTGTGCAAGAGCATCCTTGCCAGTGTAGATGCTCTCTTGCGCAAGAAAGCTCTGATGGCCATTTTAACCATAGGGCTTTCTTGCGCAAGTAATTCATGTTGCCTGTCTACACTGGCCTCTTGTGCAAGAACAGTTGCGCAAGAGGGCTTATTCCTGAGTGGGAGCATCATAGTTCTTGCGCAAGAAGCACTGATTTCATACATTAGAACGTCAGTGTTCTTGTGCAAGAACTCGCGGCCAGTTTTGGCGCAAAAGCAACTGCTTTTGCACAAGATCGCACCAATGTAGTCACAGCCTTCTAGTGGGCACACCCACCCCAGGGCAGCTCAGTCCTTTTAGCTGGCTGATAGCAAGCAGCAGTTCAGCCCCTGCTTACATCTATCTTTAGAAGTTTTTACGGTCAGGTTTGACAAAGCCGTGGCTGGAATGATTTAGTTGTGGTTGGTCCTGCTTTGAGCAGGGGGTAAGATTAGATGACTTCCTGAGGTCTCTTCCAACCCTAATCTTCTATGATACTAATAGTGGCACTGAGTTCTTCAGAGGTTGGCCATCTTCCTGCAGAACAGCCTCTTTGTACTAGGGATGTTAAAAAGCGATTCATTAGGTAACTTTGTAACTGTTAAAAATCACAGTGGTTCCATGCTTACACGCTGTGGGCTCTGCAGTATAAAGCTTACTATACTGTAGAGCCCTCAGCGCAGCTGGCTCCCTGGGAGTGGGGCTGGAGGCCAGCAGCCAGCTGCTGGGAGCTCTGATACAGAGCCAGCAGCACAGGATAGGAGACAGCTCTCTGGGAGTGGGGCCGGGAGCCAGTGTGTAACCATTACAGTAATTGAAAAGCTCACATTTATTGGTTTGCCATTTAAATGGTTACACTATTATACCCTGACTTTGTGCAAAATATGCTTTGTGAGGTATCATTTTGAGAATGTATAACTTGCTGATCAATGATATCATGGAAAACTGTATGTAGCATCATTATCTGGGAAGTAATTAATTTTCACCACATATTGTTTTCAGCACATATGCAGAACCATTCAAGTCTGCTGTGGTAAAAGTTGTCCGAGATCTATCTTTAACAAAGGAATATGTGTTACATCAATTTACATACAAATAGTAAACAGGATCATCCAGACAGCAGAGGGAGGAGAAGCCAGAAAACAGAACAATTTGGATATCAGAGAATAGTAGGGGGAAAGAATAAACTACTTTGAGGTGTAGCATTCAGAAAAATTCACTTCAAAGATTCAATGGACTATAAAAGAAAGGGACAGAAAACCCCAAGTTATGTCTTTTACGTAAGAAGACAAAACACCAGCATCTTTAGGTCTCTGGAAGAGGTTCTGACCATGGAGAAGGTCAGCCTCCAACTTGCTGGAGGACAGTGCTGGAGGACAGGAGAGGGCTACCTTGAACAAACCTTGAACCAAAACTTGCTAGACTTTTAGATGTATGTTTTCACTTTTCTTTGATTGTAACCATGTCTATTACACTTGAACTCATTTAAAATCCTGTCTTTTGTTAATAATCTTGTTTTATTTTAATCAGATCCAAAGCAACAGCACTGCATTTGTGCTAAAGTGAAAGTCAACTCCAGTTAAAGTGGCAAACTGGTGTATTCTGTCTCTTTAAGGTACCAAGTGAACCATGTTATTTCTCTGAACTGTCCAGGATAGGACTGGACATTACAGGCCATATGGCCTTGGGAATATTCAGGAAAGGGAGTGTGTTGGGGTCACCCCTAAGTAGTGACTTAGGCTGGTAGAAATCAGAGTGGAGAAGTACACAGAGTGTTGTGGTCAAAGCTGCTGAGCAAGGACTGTCTAGTGCATACTCACACAGGGTGTGATGTAGGCCGGACGGGAGCGGCTTGGCTTGGGAGCTACAACAGCAAAGCATTGTGAGGCACCCATGCTGATAGGGCAGTCCGTGACACAACCCTTCACTGGTCTCCACTGCACCATGAAAGTGACACTGTGGCATACAAATCTACCGAGGGAATCACAGCTGTTCCCTGTGTGCTCCTCTGTCATAAACGAGCAGATATTCCCATTGTGCCCACAAGGAAAGGGGACTAAGAACTGTCCACTATCCAATGGCAACAACTGAGTCCTGCAGAGCATCTCAATGCAGTGCTCTCTTAAACTGGCCCTGGGAGTCAGGGGATTGTTTTTCTTGCAGTATAGATGAAAAGAACATTTATAGGCCAGGATATGATCAGCTTTGTCTAGAATAGGAAGCCATTATCTTGTTTGGTATTTGGTTCTCTACTTCCAGTGGCATTTTACATTTACCAGTGCTAACTGCCCCTGCACCTTGCGCTTTAACAGAAATGCCCCTCTACTTTCCCATTCCAAACGTTAACCTGTTGTTCACCTTTTCAAATGTGGGATGGGTGATCTAAAGGCTGTTGCTAATAGAAATATGCTGTATGTGGCCAGAGAGGGGTGTTTATATAAAAAGTATTTGACGGATCTATCCTTTCCTTTTGCAAATTATCTGCAGACAATTTGTTATTATTGGCTGTTACTTAATGCATGGCTGATGGGAACATATTTCAGCCCGTGGATTACATGTAACTTAGATTTAGCTCTCTGTGTGGAATTGGGCACTTAAGTAAGTTAGTACAATACTTATAATTAGTAATTGTAATTTGTAACATGCAATTTTGACTGGTGGAGATTTTGAGATATCTGCACAAACACTTCAGCTATGTCTACACTGCAGGCTTCTTGCACAAAAATTCTTGCACAAGAGTGCATCCACACTGTCATGTGCTTTCGTGCAAGAGTGTCCATGGCAGTGTGGACGCTCTCTTGCATAAGAAAGCTCTGATGGCCATTTTAGCCATAGGGGTTTCTTGCACAAGAAACCCCTGTTCCCATCCACACTAGCCTTTTTGCTCAAGAACTCATGCGCAAAAATACTTATTCCTTGTGGGGAGACGAATAACTCTTGTGCAAAAAGCCCTCTCTTCTGACAGTCTACTGTACAAGCCCGTTCACACTCAAGAAAATGTACTGTGGACTCTTTGCAAGTTTTTGCGCAAGAACAGCTGTTCTTGCGCACGAAGCCTGCAGTGTAGACATAGTCTTTCAGTGCAAATCTTTACATAGCTCATCATTTGTGAACATACTTTTACACAGGAATCTGTGATATTTCTTTATCTGTGAACCTTCCTGCAAACAAATCTTCACTGCCATGAATGTTTTTTGCTGAAAACTAATGAAAGGCATCTTAAATACCATTAATTGAATTTGTAGGTTTTACTTGAATGCATATCTATAAAAACTTTTTTTGCATTGTTTCCCCCCAGATCAATGGTCCCTCTGATTTTTTTCCATGCATATGCAGAATAAATTTTGTTATGTGCACCGAGGCATGTGTAGCTGTGCACACATGTTGTCAGCTGTGCACACTGTGGGTGCTCGGCTAATCAGCTGGACAGCATTTGAATCTTTTCTGGGTGACTACCCAAGCACTCAGATTACAGGGTACACTGCCCCAGATATGTATGTGACTGTGAATTTTAGAACAATGCCTTGTTTTCTTTACAAGGTGAAAAACAAAGTTTCTAACATCTAACATTGCAAGAGATTACGTTTTGGGACTGAGGTATAAAAGAATGCTTTAAATTCAGTCTATGAAGCGGAAAAAAACTTGGGACTTGAGCTACCCACATGCTGTGAGACAACTGTGTTGTGCTTGTCCTGAACACACTGGAAATAGATCCTCTGTTTGCCAATTAAACAGAAAATAGCATCTGGAACATGATCACCTTGTTGAAACAAACAGTGGTGTCACTATTAGAAATCTGAGGTCTCCTGCATTGTTTAGTTAAAGATCAACACTGTCAGAGCTGTTTGGTAGGGCTGCAAAGGCAGTGGTGCAAGAGTAACTGTACCTCTATGAGCCATTTAACTGTTCAGTGTTCAAGCGTAAAAAGAGGGGGAGCCAAGAAAGTGCAACAATCAGACTTTGTTCTTTCTGCCACAGAGACTGTTCTCTCTCAACAAGCATGTCCTGAAAACAGAAGTTTCTATACATTACCTTCAGTTCCTATGCACTGTGTACTACATACTCTAGCACCCTCATTGGGAAGTTAACTATGTATTGTCCCTTTTGCCACATCCAAGGTAGCATATTTAAATATAAATACCATAACCTGCTCAGTGTTGCCAGCTCATATCATTTCTTTGTGTCATGGACATAGGTGCCAAGTCTGTGGGTGCTCCAGCCTCAGAGCACCCACGGAAAAAAATAGTGGGTTTTTAGCACCCACAGGCAGCTAACTCCCATTTTCCCCCTTGTGCCTCCCACCTGCTGGTGGCCTCACAGATCAACTCCTCCCCCTCTGTGTTTGTGTTTCTGTTGTAGAGGGTGACTGTGTTGGTGGGTGCAATGAAAAATACTCCCACTCTGTTATATAATAATGATTTTTCTGTTCAACACAGGTAACTTTTTTTTTCAAAGTGCATAATTTGTTCCAAGTAAATAGTTTAATCCTCACAGGGTCGCCTAGTTGTGGTTCAGGAAGGTCTTTAGTTTGCTGGTCCTAGTAGACCTTTGGCCTTTGCATTTCTCGCTCACTTTTTTCTTTTTTGTCTGTTACTCCTTCCTCTGGTGGGTTGTAATGCA